AGTCCTTGGGGTGCCACAAGGAAGAGAAGTTCCTGAGACCCCCATAGGAGGATGGGGTTTCATGGAAAGCTTTCTTGATAATGTAAAATTAAGGGGTTCCCCTCCAAAGTCCTATCTCTGTCTGTCTCACCATGGAAGAAGTCCAATCTTGTCTTCAGCAGGGCCAGGATTAAGGCCGCTGCTCAGAATTTCTGTTGTATATTAAAATCCAGTCCAGTCCACCGCTGGCTAGCTCAGTTTGTGTTCCCAGCTGCAGTCCATTGTATGTGGGGCCCACATGATCCATGGCTGCTTAAGGCCACATGGCTGTGAAGAGAGAACAGGCAAGCACACGGGCCACTGCAGGTCACAGAGCAGGAGCGAACCAGAGTAAACAGGAGAGAGGGAACTCTTTGAGGGTGTTGACTTTCCCAGATTTCATATATTTCTGATGAGACCTGCCCTGTCGCCAACCCACTGTTCCCCAGGCTAGATTGACAGGCAAGCATCTTCCCTGCATCACCCCAATTTCAGGTGCTTGTGCCTATCTACCCCTTCTCCCCCCAACAATCCAGTCCTGGAGAGGGAAGGGAGGGTGTTAATCCCCTTGGAGGAACAATGCTGGGTGAAGCTGTAGCTTCCTAGTGTAGCTTCCCAGGTGACCATGCTTACAATGTCTGACTTTCCTTTGCTCTTTTCCTTTTATTAATATTAATAACTAGCTAATTATGACCATAACAGTTTGGGTCAAGTGCCCATCCAAAGTCTAATTAACTGCCAGATTCACATCCTATGGCAAGGATGCAGTTCTTGGGAAAGTAATGGTCCTAGTGCAGAAATCAAAAGTGAGTTTTGACTCATGGCATCTGAAGGTGATGCCACAGTCCAAGGTGACCCAGTGGTACAGTGGGTGTCGGTGGTGGTGGCTTCATGGAGGAACATCGCCAGTGTGGCTTGAGATAGGAATGGGTAGGACACTCTTTTGTTAGTGTAGCCAATACTGTTGGGAACTTTCATGAAAATGTTTCCTTAGGGTATTCTGTAAGAATAGCTCTAAAGGACACGCCTGGAAGTCACATTGCATGAGTATCTTTATATTCGTGAGACCACAGCAAAAAGTCACTGTGTCAATGTACTTATTCCACTGGCAATGTATAATAAAGAATTCCCTTTGCTTAGTATAATTTCAAGCATTTGATATTATTACAAGATGTCTTTATTAGCAATTGGGTAATTGTGAAATGGAATTCTCTTGTGGTTTCAATTTGAATTTTCCTGATTACTAGTGAGGCTGAGAATCTTTTCATATAATTATTAGCCATGAAGGTTTACCCTCTCTGAATTGCCTAATTATATCTTCCCATTTTCTATGGGATTGTCTTTTATTTATCAATTTATAATATTCCCTTAAGTGTTCTTTTAACTTTTATATTGAAGTTACATGTACATTTTTAACTTTAAGTGAATACATTTTGAAAGGATTTGAAGGCTATATAATGTTTTATATTCAATCATAAAATCAAACACTTTCATCTTACACAAGCAGATACTGAATAACTAAATAATTTCCCCCAGGACATCTAGACATTCAGTGGCAGCCAGGTATGGAACTGGTGGTCCTACACCTTACACAGGTCTTTTCCTGTTCTATCCAGCAAAGTTATCAACAATGTATGTAGCTCCAGCTCATTTCTAACCACTGAGGATGCCAGCATGAAAGCCACAGCCAGCCCTTGTCACGTGACACTTTCACACCATATGACCTTCCTCACAGGGCAGACAATGCCAGCTACTTCGGGTTCTAAAATACACACAGCAGTCATCCATCTCCTTGAGCTTCTGCATATGTTTCATTTTTCTGAAACTTTCTCTGTTTTTCTGCCACACTTATTCTTACTCCTCTTTCCAGATTCAACCTAGTCACCCATAAAGTTTTCCTTTAACTGTCTTAGGCACTGTGCTAGGCATTCCTCCAGCAAACTGCTCCTCTGGTCATTACCTATTCTCAGGTCTGTCGTCCTGCAAATAGTGTGTTGCTGGAGGAGAGGGTCCATGTGGTCTATAGCCCCAAGCACCAGACGCATGACAGGTTTCTAACAACTGTTTGTTGAATAAATGAACAATTGGTGGAATAGAAGTAAAGCTGATGGGCGGAGTTTCAGACTCCATTTAAACAACTATCTGTTCCAATATGATAAATGGGATGAGTGTGCTTTAGGTTACAGCGCACGCTGCCCTATGTAGGCATAAAGTCACTAAGAGAATGGTTTCTTCTCATTTCAGAGCCTTTAAAGCCCCTTCCCTCCCTGGGTTTGACACCTTTTAATATGCGTGAGACAGATTTCTAATAATTGTGATCTATGACTCTTTGACCTATTGCCACAAATAGCATTTGAAAAATGGTCAGCTCTAAAAGACAAGCCATTACAGCACTTAAAATTTGCTTTAAATTTTAGGATTTAGCCTAATTTGATCAGAGCTGCTTTTCAGATGTAGGCTCAGCAAAAATGTTAAAGACCACCTTACTTTAGCTGAATCCATTTTCTACTAAAAGTGCATCTGGCAGATGTCTGACATGGTAAAGGTAAAGTGAAATTCATCACCTACTTTTCACAGCTGCATTAGGTGAGAACGTGACAAATAGGCCCCGGAAAAGATTGTGACACTCCTGATACATAGAAACCTTTCTAGATTGCTTTCTTGCCCGAAAGTCACCGAGAACATCCTGCCATAATGTATTGTGAAATCAGGAGTCACTCAATCACTTCAAGGTCAGATTCACTTTAATTCATTATTGCTTTTATTATATTTAGTGTAATGCTGCACATCATTTCAAGTAGTTTGGGAATTATAAGTATGTCCACCAGAATACATTAGCTAGAAACAATTTTCCCTCCCTTTTTCCCTTCTCAAATTGCACACTTCACAGAAACTTTCTCTAAAATTAAAAGATTTGACTCACATACAGTGTGCATCTATCTAAGTGTGAGTCGAAATATCCTAGTATATGAAGTCACTTCCTGCTTGAAAATTAAGCTTCTTTGGTTGTTCCATAAATACAGCTTCAACTCCATGGCAAGTAGCATGTTTTATTGCTTATTGTTCTCTGCTATATCCTTGGTACATGGAACAGAGACTAACATGTATGATTGAATGATACAGGGAATAGGGTAAAACACATCTGAGATGAAGAACAGAAAGATCAGAGAAATCAAGTAATGTTTTCAAAGGTCAAGTCCAAATAGCAACCCAGGAATCTGATCGGAGATCAGTTGTTATAAATTGCTATATTCTCCTCAAGCAATATGATATGTTGTATTCCCCACTGAGCTTGGAAATATTAACACCTATTCATATAGGCCTGAGGCTTTGCCATCAGAAAGGCCTGAGATGCAGCTCTGAGAGTAATGGTGGGACTCCTGGCAAGGTCCTCCCTGTATTAGTCTCCTGTAGCTGTTGCAACAAATGACCACAAAGTGGCTGTCTTGAAACAATCTAAATTTACTCTCTCACTGTTCTGAAGGTCAGAAGTTCAAAATCAAGGTCTTGACAGGACCACTCCTTCTTGAGGAGACCTCTCCACAGGAGAAGGTCCTTGATTCTTCCAGCTTCTGGCAGCTGCCAGCACTTCTAGGCTTTTGACTACATCGCTGCACAGTCAGCATCTTCTCATCTGTCTCTGGTCACTCTTCACTTCCCATTCTCCTCTGTGGTTGATCGAATCTCACTCTGCCTCTCTCCTATAAGGGTACATGTGATTACAGTTAGGGCCCACCTGGGTAACTGAGGCTAATCTTCCCATGTTGAGTTTAAATCCTTGGCTTCATCATATCCGAAAAGACTTTACCATATAAGCTAACATTCACGAGTTCCAGGGACTAGGATCTGATTTATTTAGGAGCCATCAGTCAGCCCATGACACTTTAATATCTCCAAATTTCAGTTTTATCTGTAAAACAGAGATACGAATACCAAACACATAAGGATGTGATGCTCTGATGGTTAAATAAGAAATATAAACTAACATAAACACACACAGGCAAACTCGGCATGCTCAATTAGTAGAGCTAAGAGCTTAAGGAGGAACATAATTTATCTGCATAAAGCTTTGTGACCTATGCACATTCCTTAACTCTCTGAAACTCTTAAATCCTTACAGATATAACTAAGTTTACATTCAGTTTTATTTTGTCTCACTGCAAAGCCTTTCAATTTTTTCTGTCTCCAAAATTTTTAGCTAATATATTACACTAGAGGCCTGGTGCATGAGATTCATGCACTTGGTGGTGGTGGCGGGGAGGAGGGAAGGGTGGAGCGGGGTTGGCACCTCAGCCTGGCCTGTGCCCTCTCACAGTCCAGGAGCCCTCAGGGGATGTCCGACTGCCAGCTTAGGCCCGCTCCCCACAGAGAGCGGGCCTAAGCTGGCAGTTGGACATCCTTAGCACTGCTGCAGAGGCGGGAGGGGCTCCTACCACCACTGCTGTGCTCACCAGCAGTGAGCCTGGCTTCTGGCTGAGCAGTGCTCCCCCTGTGGGAGCGCACTGACCACCAGTGGGCAGCTCCTGCATTGAGCATCTTCCCCCTGGTGGTCAGTGCACGTTATAGCGACCGGTTGTTTCGCCGTTTGGTCGATTTGCATATTAGCCTTGTATTATATAGGATGTTGTCCTTGTTATAAAGAGTTTCTTGCTTGGAGGAGGAGACAACTATATGAAATGATGAACATTGTATCTTTGAGTGAATCAGACATGATGGGAGGACAGAGAGGGTGGACATTAATTGTGCCTGGATTTTTCCACTGCAGATGGCTACTTAGCGCAGCCTGCCAACTGGCCACTAGGGCTCACCTTTCCCTCAAGGCAAGCTTTGTCCATCTTTGCTAGATTCACTTCAAGATAAATCTTAATTATGCTGACATCATCTTTTAAACTTTTCAATTGGGGACCAAAAGTAACTAAATCAAATGTCTTTCAAATATGTTTGATTTTTCTTTATTAATTTTCTGTTCTTTTATTTTCAAGAGATCACTTCTCCTGAGATGAGGCTTTTTGCAAATTGGGATACATGCTGACACTGCCTGACCAGACATGAGATGGAAAATGATGGTGTGTCCTCCAGGAGACCACATGGATGCTGCTGGTTTTGATTTATTCAAGATGATCTGAAACATGTCCCTGTGAAGAACATGCATGCCCAGAGATTCAATGGGTCTGACAGTAGATGACTGGAAAAGTACTAGCAAGCCCATCAACCTCAGCACATGTGCATCAAATCTACCATCTTCCTTCCTATGTGAGCATTTTCCATGCTGTTCTCCATGCTCCCAGGAAAAGAAAATAGAGTGAACCCTGGAATAGTTGATAGCTGCTTAATGTGCCCCTTCTTTTTGGAATTAACACTGCCAACATTACCTTCATGTAATGATCAAAATAATGATCAAAACACTTCCTCTAACACCTACTTGCATTGTAGACCTTGCAATCTGAATTATTCTACTGATGTTACCAAACTGAAATCTATCCATGAAAATCACCATATTTAATGATCTTCCTATTTAGAGTTAACCTGTTTTGCATGGTTTGTAACCCCTTTTTGTCCCCTCAAACTCTTCAGGTCTCACTTCTGTTTCCCATTCCCCAGCACTGTTCCAATTCTTTTATTTTGCACTTTTTTCTTTTATGGTTTTCATTCCTCCTTTTGGAACATTCTTCATGTTGTTGTGACTTTAGTGTTCTCTTTACACTCTGTTCTTGGCATCTACTCTGTGGTTTCAATGACCATGACCATGTTGGTGTTAGAAGTCCATCTCTCAGCCACTGCAGTCAGGTGGTAAAAGTGAGGCTGATGGAAGGAGAAAGTAATCCTTTCTCTAGCCCTGATCTTTTTCTTACACATTCAGACCCCCTGCATATCTCTGCTAATGTGTCCTGTTGATATCTCCAACTCAACTTGCTTAAAACAAAGCCCATTTCCTTGACCTTTAAATCAGTCCCTTCTCTTTCTCCATGTCTATTAATGCCACCATCTATTAATCTTCCAATTAACCTGGTTTAATACCTTTGATCCACCAGTATTTTTTTCTTCAACTTCAATCCTATCTAATAAAAGAGAAACATGGTAATTGGTGTACGACCGCTACCCTTCCCATTGGCTAATCAGGGCAATATGCAAATTAAATGCCAGCCAAGATGGCGGCCGGCAGCCAGGCAGCTTGAAACTAACATGAGGCTTGCTTGCTTCAGTGATGGAGGACTCCAACCTTCCCCGCCTGCCACTGCAGGCCTCTGAGCTGCAACTCTAAGCAACTATGTAACAAATATAGAAGCTAAACAAAACCCCAGAAACCTGGTTTAGTCACTGGGCTTCAGCCAGCAGGATCACAACATTGTAAGCAAAGGCTAGAAACCTACTTTCAGCAGCAGAGGCCTAAGAGCTGGAGTCAAGCCTCAAAGCTAAAGCTAGCCCAGAATAAAAAAGAAAAAAAGGAGCGGTTGGGAGCTTCAGTCACCCCCATCCTGAAAACAGCCCTCAGCCCCTCACCCAGACTGGCCAAGTACCCTAGTGGGGACCCCCACCCTGAAGGGTGTGTGACCAGCTGCAAACAGCCATCATCCCCTCACCCAGGCTGGCCAGGCACCCCAGTGGGGACCCCCACCCTGAAGGGTGTGTGACCAGCTGCAAACAGCCATCATCCTCTCACCCAGGCTGGCCAGGCACCCCAGTGGGGATCCACACCCTGATCCAAGACACCCTTCAGGGCAAACCAGCCAGCACCCACCCATGCACCAGGCCTCTACCCTATATAGTAAAAGGGTAATATGCCTCCCGGCACTGGGATCAGCATGACAGGGGGCAGCGCCCAAACCCCCTGATCACCCTGCCGCTCTGTGTGTGACAGGGGGCAGGGGCACAACCTCCCTATCCACCCTGCTCTGTTCTTGACAGAGGAAGGCGCCCCAACCCCCTGATCAACCCTGCTCTGTGCCTGATAGGAGGGAGCTCCCCAACCCCCTGATCGCCCCGCGGCTCTGTGTGTGACAGGGTACAGAGCCCCAACACCCCTGATGGGCCCTGCTCTGTGTGTGACAGGGTGCAGGGCCCCAACCCCCCCACCCCACAGGCTCTGCTCTGTGTGTGACGGGGTAGAGCCATAACCTCCCCATCGGCCCTGCCCTGAGTGTGAGAGTGGCGGTGCCCCAACCCCCTGATCGGCCCTGCTCTGTGGGTGATAGAGGGCGGCGCTCCAACCCCCTGATGGGCCCTGCTCTGTGCGTGACAGGATACAGAGCCCCAACCCCCCTGATGGGCCCTGCTCTGTGAGTGACAGGGGGTGGCACCGCAACCTCCCCATCGACCCTGCCTTGAGTGTGACAGGGGACAGCTCCCCAACCCCCCAATCGGCCCTACCCTGAGCATGACTGAGGGTGGCATTGCAACCTCCCGATCCGCCCTGCTCTGTGCATGACAGGGGGCGGCGCCCCAACTCCCCAATTGGCCCTGCTCTGAGCCTGACCAGAGGCTGCACCTAGGGATTGGGCCTGCCCTCTGCCACCCGGGAGCAGGCCTAAGCCAGCAGGTCATTATCTCCCAAGGGGTCCCAGACTGCGAGAGGGCACAGGCCGGGCTGAGGGACTCCCTTCCCCCCCGAGTGCACAAATTTTTGTGCACCGGGCCTCTAGTCAATTATAATAGTCTATAAAATCTGTCTCCACATGGCCATCAAAAAATGGCCAAACCTACTTTTCTAGCTTTCTTTTCTACATGCTTAAATATAAAAGCTATCATTTATCTCAAGTCTTATAATGTCAGAATGCATAACTACTTGATTTATTTATTTAAAAAAGGAGGGTGAGGTTTTCATAATTCCCAATTATCAAATATGCTTTGGAAAGATTAAGTAACTTGCCAAATGTCACACTTCCAGCACGTGACATGGCCAGGAGGAGGTTCCAGGCCATCTCCTGCCAAACATCCTAATTTTAAAAAATATCTAAGTGTGTGTTCTAGACTTCTAGAGGTTTTCCAAGCTGCTGTCATGTTTCTTGTATCCCCTTACAACTATTCTTACAAATATGCTCCCTGGTAAAAGCACATAATATCTTTAGCCTCTTGTGGAATCATTCCCACACTCTATCATTTCCATTCAAAATGTTCTCATCCTCAGGTCCCAGGTGAATTGACCACTGACCCATGCAGCTCTTTCTCACCAGGAAAAAACACTTCCTGTTGAACATCTATTGCTCTGTATTTACACTGCTTTCCAGGCACATGAGACACTAGACACGTGTCAGAGTTATTTGAGTACTGAACTCCATTCCTTTCATAGTGTTCAAAGTCAAGGCGTCCATGTCTTCCTTTCCCACAGAAGAGAAATGTCTATTGCAGAGCCTTGGCCTCTGCAGGTGCACAATGTGTCTTTGCAGAGGGAATCTTTCCTTGATGGGATTTTGAGTTTCTCATTTAAACAGTATAAAGTTTACATCTTTAATGAAATATTTTAAACATGCAGAAAGTACACAATGCATTCCCTCCAACACAATGTCTGGTTTAGAAAAGAAATATGACCTCAAGTTTCTTATGCATCCCTACCCATATACCTGCTCCTCTGTCCTAAATTTCATGTGTCTTGGTCTTATTTACTCAGTTTTTACTTTTCCTACATATATAGAAATTCTCAAAGATCACCAATTAACTCCCTCGTAAAAGTGAATTCACATGGAAGCAGGAGAAACGGGTGATACATTTCTGCACAAGGCTCACCGGCGCCATTAGATCAGCAACTGGATTTTCCTCTGGACATGCTGGACTCAGAATCAGTTGAAACATAAGCCTAATATTTATTTTTAGTCTAGAAAAACATATACAGTCAGCATCTCGTTTCCCTAGAGGGAAAAGAGGAAACTTTCTGTGTACCAGCTGTTTCCTGGAGCAAAAGAAGTGAGAAGCCTCCCTTCGTGAGTTTCCCTTCCTCACTAAATTTTTTTTTATCCAGAAATGATGTCTCTGTGATAATGTCTTCCTCTATAAGAAATCAGACATTCCAGATGATAAAACTTTAAAAACCTTTTCTTTCTCTTTGTACTTTCAGGATATTGTTTTAAAGTGTGAGGAATTTAAGACACTCTTTACAAAACTAATTATGATAATACTAGAGGCCCGATGCACGAAATTTGTGCACCCTCTCCAATCTGGGACCCCTTGGGGGATGTCCGACTGCCGGTTTAGTCCCGATTCCTGCCCTCCCTTGCCAGTCCGATCACCCCCAGCTGCCCTCCCCGATAGGCCTGATCACACCCCCAGCTGCCCTCCCCTGCTGGCCTGATCGCCCACAACTGCCCTCCCTTTCTGACCATCTTGTGGAGGCCATCTTGTGATGGCATTGCATGTGACACCACCTAGGCTTTTATTACACAGGATTAAGAGATTTTGTGGCACATAAAATATAATGTAATGTGCGACCGTTTGGATTTTGTCATTTATAACATTATTTTTATGTTTTTCCCTTTAACTGAAAATATTTACTTTCATTTAAAAGGGATATTTTAAAAGGAATATTTAAAAAATTAATATTCATGAAATTGCCATTCAACTTAAGAACTAGATTGTTAGTACTATATCAACCTGTGACTACTTCCATATACTATTGCTTTCATTCCCCTTATTCCTTAAGTTTTCTATTAATTTGTTTTTATTTTTATAGTTTAATCGCATTTGTCTATATCTCAAAATGCTGTATTTGTAAAATTTTGCTTGTTTAAAGTGGTATAGAAATGTTATCCTACTATAGGAAGTCAGCTACAACTTTTTTTTGTTACCAAAAGTTAAGTACTGATACTAGTACATACTCTTATAACTTAACATGCACTTTAGCTGTAATCTTAAATTCTTATATCCTTGCTGTAGGCTATTGTGGTACAGTGCCCAGCTGGCACCTCACAGTCCAATGAACTTTTGTCTTTTTATGGCATTGCAAATCCTTCCTTTCTTTGTAATCCTTTTGAAATTATCCCAGTTCAGCCCCTTCTGCTGATCATGATTATTGTCACATCTTAATATCTGGTTCCAATCTTGTGATACTCAAAAATGCAGACAGATGAAGGAGTCAAGCAGATGGAGACCAAAATATCAGTTGCTACAAGGAGTGTGTTTTTAATATGGCCAAGTAAGTTCTGACCACATTGACCATTACCACTGATTAGAAAAAAAAAGAAAAAAGAAAACCCTCTGGGGAAAAATGCTATGTGAAGGCACTAGCGAGTGCACAAAAGTAGGCAAATTTCTGACGCAATATGAGATACTTGGATATCTTTAAAAAGCTAATACTAACCGAAATGTAAAATTATGGATAAACATGAAAGACTAATATTCTCCTTTCTATTTATTTAAAGCATTTGACTCTTTAAAATCAAAAGTTATAATATTGCTCTGTGTAGTTTATATGGAGGACTGTCTTCCTGGTTCATAGCCAGCATCTACCTGTTGTGTGGAAGGGACAAAGGATCTCCCTGGAGACTCTTTTATTAAGGACACTAATCCCACCACAAGGACTCAACCCTCCGGATTTAAGGACCTCCTAAAGGCCCCACCTCATGACAACCTACTACTAACCCTCACCTGCCTTTGGAGATCCGGATTTTAATATATGAATTCTGGAGGGGCACATTCAGACCATAGCAGGTGGACAGGAATGGGGAAGGCAGATGTTGATTGCCTGGAGGTCTTGTCTTAAAGAGATGGCTAATCACCCAAATCCCTAATTCTATCACCCAACAGCCTCCTAGCCAATAGTGAAGAAACACAGCTTTTACAAAGAAAGTAACCCTCTGACACAATGAAGAAATGCCTTCTTCATCACTGTTGCACCAGGGGCCCCTTGTAGTATGCAGCCTACACCAAGCAACCCTTCTGTGAATGGAAATCTTGGGAATCGTGTGTGACTCATTAAACTGCACATGACCAGAAGTAGGGGAGACTTGTCCCTTACTACTTCAGCGAGTTGTGCTCAAAGGGAGACTATGGATAGTCTGCTTGCCACAGCTGCCAAGCATACTACAACACATAAAGGAGTCAGTCAGTAGAAT